AGACTTTTAATAAAAGTCCGATAGAAGCGGATATTTCAAAAGTTGGAGGTACTTAGTTAGTGGTAGTTAGAGGAACATAGCCTTGTACTTCGGAAAATTCGTCTGACAAACTTGGATAGAAAAGCAAAAACGTTGTGACAACACAAGTCAAAGACGTGAGAGCTGGATATCTTCAAGGTAAAAATTATGTTGTAGGGTCACTGAGCGCTGTTAAATCCAAGAACTTTCAAAGCAAAACAGGACGTAAGATCACATATGTTACTATACGACCACATTCAAAATCAGAAAGATGATGATATGTAAAACTGTTCACCCTTTGCTAGTGAGTTTATGTTCTACATCAGACAGTCTGTCCGGCTGGCACAATAGTTCAAATGTTCGATCTCCGCTTTCGATAAGAACGACGTCTTCACAATCTAACTCAATTCCAACTTCCTCCATCTAAACTTAGGATAAAGTCATCCGGAAATGAGCTATTCGATCTTTGACACCTTACCTGTTCAAGTCCCACAGGTTTGCCCTTCAATTCAGCTTTGACGGTTAGAACGCCCTTTTGTTGAAACCAGCTTTGTACTGCAGAGGCTTCACTTGCAAAACGGAACCCGCCCACCTAAGCAAACATGGTTCTAAACTCTATAGCATAATTTTTTGAGCCAGGTTCAGTAATTTCGAATTCAAACTTTTATTAGAAACTTGTAGTCACTACATAAAAATACAAACCAAACATCATATGTCCATGTGCAGTCAACTATTCTAGACAGTTTAGGACAAGCAGCTATACCACATAAATAAGGATTTTGATACAAATTTCCCTCTCAAACCTTATTGAAATATTTCCTCATGGTGTTCTCGAAAGCTTTTTTATTGTCCGTCTCAGCTTCAACAATAAAAAATGATCCTGCGGGGCCAATCACATTGAAAGTGCATTCAATTTCGGGCCTATCCTGTAAACGAGCATGCTTTTTCATGATATTCAAAGTAAACCATTGTATTTACCTTTAATTTAACCAAAAAGTTCCTGAATGTGTCTAACGAAAGTCCTTGCGATCTACAGTCTTGCTCAAGCGCTCCCAACTCCTTGTTCAACTTTAAGTCAAACCCAC